AACTATTCAGCCAGCAGTTTAAGTGAGTTCTGAATTCACACCACAACAGCAGAAAAGTATTTCCTATCTTTGTGCAACATGGATTTCAGTTCCAAGGGGAAATGGGCATGACAGCAGCTAGTGACAACCAAAACTGTCACAAGTTTGAGATAACAGATTATTTGTTCCTGCATTTGTGCAGAGCATAAGTTTTCACCAAACCTCAGATCTGAGCCACCTCCAAATTTAGAAGAATTAATCTCTTGGTCTTGTCCTTATTTCAAGGTCTGTCACAATCTAAGTTCCATATGAAGTGATGTGATTGTTTCCTACCTTCTTTTGCCACAAGCAAATTAACACTACTAAAACAACAAGGTTACCAAGCTTTATGAGGTGCTGGGAGTAGACACTGGTCTTTTGGTAGCCAAGCTGTCTAAACTGCAGCTTGTGAGAGTTTGTGGCTTGCATTGACTCTGTAGTAGATTCAGCAGAGACCACATGAAAGGACCCAGCACATCTTCTGAAGCACTTAACATCTGCAAAACACAAGGCTATTTCCACGAGGCTTACTGCCAATCACTTCATGGCAATGCAAGAAATTCCAAAAACATAGCAGAAAAGATGACTTCTCTTGTAAGACACTAATATATATTCTAAACAGGAACCTACTTCTGAAGTCATTCATTAGCAAAAAAAGGAAGTGTGCAGCCATAAATGGTCAGTACTATGGTTTCAAGCTGCTGCAAATAATCAGTAATGTGGTTAAGTGTCTGGAAAGAGATGGAACTCAATAGTAAGTGGAAAATGTAAGGAGACAGAAAGAAAGCCAATGCTACCATAAACTGCAAGCCTGACTCTCTTCTTGTTCATACAAGTTAAAACAAAGAGCAACCATAATGAAGTCAGAGGAGACAAATACTTTCCAAAATGTAACAAAAGTGATGGAAGAATCTTCATAAGTTATTTTTTTTCTTGGTTTTGGTAAGAGGTGGGGCTTTGTATACTAAAGAAAATGGAAGCATATATTATACGATATGTATATGATATATGAACTGTAATGAAGGACCATCCTCACTACTAGAAATTGGTACTATTGCCGATGATTGTTTTCTTTTTCTAAGGGCTTCAAAGATTGCTATAGACAATGACATTTAAACTATATTCCACAGCAGATGAGTTCCACACTTTATTCCACAGAAGTGTAAAGAAATGTCAGTCTTGGGAAGCAGAGCATTAAAGAGAAGATTTCTGATGTTTCTTTGGATAGTCTCATCTCCAGACCATATTGTGCACTTGGTGAAAGACAAATCTCCTTAAAAGAGTTAATCAAGTGGAAATACACAAAAATCATTTGTCCCTTTATAAACCCTCAACTAAAATATTTATTTACAGAAAATATTTATCCTCACTACAGATCAAAATATCTTGAAGCTGACTATATTCTGCTCAGATTCAATTGTAAGTTGAAATAAAATCCTATCTAAAATAAGTAAATTGGACACAAGGGAGTACAGGACTGAAAATGTTACTCACGCTGTTTTACAAAGCATAGTAACAGTTGTGTACAGTTGTGTATAGAAATCGGTGAAAAAAAGCATGGTAAAACATGTTAAAAAGAAAACATTTTGTCAAAGTGAAATCAAAGACAATGGAGCAATGAAGACACTATGAAGCTAGTAGGCCACTATGAACTACCTAGAACTAGCCAGCAGGTCACGCAGGAATCCCAGACACTGCATCATTACTTCATTACCATTCCCAGCCTTTCCAATGGATAACAAAGTCAAGGAGTCACACTAGAGAATACAAAGTCACACTAGTGAATAAAAAACAGTGGAAGCATGCTTCAAAAACGGAGTTAAAAATGCCAGCTTCCACATCAATCATGAAAGAAAATTTGTATCTCTGAGTGCCTGAACTTCAGAATGTACAAGTGACATTGCGAGCAGGTCGAGGGAGGTGATGCCTCCCCTCTATTCAGCACTGGTGAGGCCACACCTGGAGCACTGTGTCCAGTTCTGGGCTCCTCAGCACAAGAGAGACATGGACATACTGAGCAGAGTCCAACCAAGGGCCATGAAGATGATTAAGGGTCTGGAGCATCTCTCCTATGAGGAAAGGCTGGGAGAGCTGGGTCTGTTCAGCCTGGAGAAGAGAAGGCTTAAGGGGACCTCATCAATGTATATAAACACCTGAAGGTAGGCTGCAAAGAGGATGGAGTCAGGCTCTTTTCAGTGGTGTCCAGTGGCAGGACCAGAGGCAATGGGCACAAACTGAAATACAGGAGGTTCTCTCTGAACACTGGGAAACGCTTTTTTTTACTGTGAGGGTGACCAAGCACTGGAATAGGTTGCCCAGGGAGGCCATGGAGTCTCCATCCTTGGAGATATTCAAAAGCCATCTGGACATGGTCCTGGGCAACCAGCTCTAGGTGGCTCTGCTTGAGCAGGGGGGGTGGACAGGATGATCTCCGGAGTTCCCTTTCAATCTCAACCATTCTGTGATTCTGTGACATGAAGCCTTTGACAGCAGAGCCAGGTCACAGGTTAGCAAAGAAGCCAGACTAGCAGCTCTGAGTCCAGAGCAACATGGATTTTGCTTCTCCAAATTCCCATGTGCATATTGCACCAATGACTTCTGCTCATTCCTTCCATCAGCAGGTGGAAGAACGCTTTCCATTGACAAAAAGGAAAAGAAAATAAATGCCACTGCACACATTTCTGAATAATGCTTACCTCTTTATGCTCACTTAGTTACAACTGAGAGCTCCCTCTGGCTCGGAGTGAAACACGTGGGAGCTTTTCCAGAGTGCAATGGGAGTGGGTTCAGGCCCTTTACACAGCCTCCCAGTGTTTTCCTCCACCCTGGCATTATGTAAGAAACTGAGCTAAACTGTAAATATTACACAACCTTGAAAAGGGAAGGGACTAGTAAAATATCTGCATGACTCCTTCACACTGACTCACCCCTTCCTTTCCGCTTTTGCTTACAGTCCTCGTTTAGAGTACAAAGATATGCCTGAACTGGACGCTTCTTGTCTTTTAAGCATACTCCAGGCACAGTGAGACTTTTCATCAGCTTAGACAGGACAGCCCATAGAGCCTAACCAGGACAACAGTGCCAGGAAGCAGGCTGCAGCCTTCCCCCCAGCTCTGCTGCAGTCACTGCTGCACTGTACTCCCAGCACCCGAAGCCCCCCACACCCCTCATGTTCCTCTCGCTGTGGCTCTGAGCACCATGCTCCTACACCAGCCTAGAAAAATAACCCAGGGATTATCATCGTCCAACAAAGGAAGAGCAGTAGTGTTCCAGTTTGCTTGGTAACTACAAGTAGGTCAGATGGGAGTTAACCTATTGCCTACACACTCTATAAGCACAGTCCCATGTCTAGCATCATATTAAACAACAACAAAAAAAGCTTTCTAAGCAGGACAGCAGCCCAAGGCATATTCTGTGACCTAGAAAGACATGTGGGAATGACTGTCCCCTGCTTAGGCTGGGAAAAAAGACTGTCATAAACCTAGACATTTCAAATCCTCATTATGCTGTAAAACAGCCATTTACCCAGTAACAGAATTTCTCCAGCATTGTTGACATTCTACCGAAATATGTTTGTGGCAATAAAAATGAAGCTCAGTAACTCAATGGTAACTTAATATCTTGTAACAGTTAATACATGTATGCAGTCTTGAAGGATATACTGTTATGCTGAAGGATATCACTGTACTTTAAAGTGTAAAGCACTGAGCATGAACAGAAATTGCCTGGTATATTGTTACATATTTAAAATATAATGCATTGGGCATGAGTGGAAATTAGTAGTTCTAATGTTAAATATTTTATACATGACTGTAAAATCAGGCTACGCAAGTGCCAGTATTGCTTCATCAAGCTATACAGAGGAAGCTTCCTTTAAGTGAGATTCAATCCCAGATTTACAGCACAAAATTTATTTTGGATAGAATTTAGTGTGGGTTCCCTTGTGACAGTACCTGCCTGCCCGCTCAGCATATAGATAAATAATTTAAAAAAAACCAATACAAAACAAAACACCCTACAAAACCAAAGAGCTGGGATTAGACAGGACCTGGTTGTGCCCTCTGAATCTCAAGTAACATTAAAACATCTCAGCTGTTCCATAGCACTAGGTGCAATTCAGTGGGGACAAAGTATCAGTTATCAGTCCAAAGAAAAGAATCAAATGTGATATTTATCTCCATGGTCTTCTTGAAGAAGAATATCAGTTTCAGGTGATCCTAAATTATTTCCTTTGGAAGGAAAAGGCTGCCACTAATACTCAACCTCAGACTCTACTTTATGTAACAACATAGCCAGTGCAGTACAGTGATTTTCTGGTAGCATCTCCCAGGCCTCTGCACTGCTCACTTCTGGACAACTTCAGATATGTTTATATACAATTTCACTTTGTTCCAATCTGTCTCCAGGGGGTCCAGTTCCCATTCTAGATCAATTGAGCTGAGTGAGTAATAATCCCAATGTTATACGACTTCACTGGTATATCACTTTGTGATCAATATATCTCTTAATATAAAAATAAATCAGAAGACTATTGTAGAAACTTCTTTTTTAAACTTGATGTTTTTCTAACTTTGTAGAAGGCAGTTGCAGGAATGTCTTTCCATTGAATAGGAAAGGCAACAGAAAATTAATTACAATTTGTGCTCATTCTGTGTTAAGGTCTACAAAAACAGCTGAAACCTCTTTTATGAAACAATGATCAAAATTACATGGATTTTATTTATTTATTTATTATTGTTTTTCACTTATGGAAGACTTTGAAGAAAGTTCCCATTATAATTTTCTCAACAGTAGAGAAAAATAAATATGTATTGAGTACCAGCATACAGCATAATAATAATCCCATTTCATATTCATTGGTACCCTCATAAATGAAACATAAGCTCTTCTGGAGGGAATTTTCACCTTGAAGGCAATAAAGGCCATTTGCTTACCAAATATAAATAAAAGGGAAAGTACAGGAAAAAAATCATATTTCTTACCATTGTAAGGGTGAATGGATGGCTTTCCAGTGCGGACACCCTTGGACAGTGCAGAATAACATACTGAAACAAAATCAGCCAGAGAAAATAAAATGATAGAAAAGATATGTTCAAAACATTCAGTGATGGCTTAGTACGTACAAAGTAAAAATCATCCCTATAGACAGTGCTACAGCTGTGATTTTTTAGGGGCACATTAACTCACCTGACCAGGCCTTGCTTTAAAGTGATCTTTCATCATCCTTACTTCAAGGACATTGGAGGGATGGCTTATCACTGAAGTTATTGTGACTGGTTTATTGCTGCGGATGTAGCGGTACAGCCTTTCCACACAGTACAAGCACAGAGGTCCAGAAATCCAAAACCAGGTCTATGGGAGAACAAAGATTATGTTACATCAAAGACTTTTCATTTTATGTTTTCTAATTTCAAAACTACATGTGTGCTTGCAGGACCTCATTTTACATCTTATTGTGGAATAGTGTTTTGGTCACAAGTAACCTCCACATCTCTCTACGTGCAGAAATCCAAGCGCATTATGGAGGCTTAATCAGTCTCACCGGCAGCATCATCCACAAACACAAATGATTTCAATCATAAAACTCATCAGGAACAAAATGCTAATGACCTCATTTGCAACCATGTTCTCTGGTTTTATGTAGTTAGATTGTAATTGGTTTCAGCAGTGAATGACACAGTACATACACTGTTTCAAAATCTAACAGACCAGGGTACTATAAAACTGGTTAACCTTTATGGAAAAACACTTTCTGGCTTGCAACATGATTTGACTATTACCTTCTTTTAATCATCTCAGATACAAGCAAAAAAATAAGAAGGAAGCAATTATTGTGCTATAGAATTCACGCTTATATTAAGCTAGTGTAAAATCATAGACAAGGGAGAGAAATGGGCACTTCTGAATCACGATTCATTTGCCCCTGTGGAAGATGTGTACGCTAGACAAATAATGCCCTGGAAACGCCCTGATTCTCTGCACTGATTATACAGGGAGCCCTAGGTGACTACCTCAGATGGAGACATTTGCAGCTGCTCAGCTAAATCCCATCCTAAGAGTCAATTACTAAAAGCTTATAGCAGAGCTAACTACTAATTCCACATCTGCTCAGTCATTCAAGCCATGGCACTGAAGTGCCCTTGGCACTCATCTATCTTCCCTTCCCAATTTTTGAAGTTACACATCAGCATCTCTTGCAACTAGCAGAGTATTTAATTTCCTCAAGCACCTCTGGGCTTAAAAACTTCAGTAGCTCACAGGACCTAAGGCCTTTTTTTTTAGACTTGGTATCGCTAAGTGCATAAAACACTTCCAAATCTCAAAAAGTGCTAAAATAATGTTACAAGCTGCTAGGAGAACACGGAGTGGCCATTTCTTTCCACGGCTCTTCTCTTCTCATAAATGGCTCTAAAGTAGACATTTTAAGCCCCAGAGATGACTGCTTGATGTCCTGTGGGTCATATGGAGCCAGATACACACTGATGCTTGTAATTCAGGAGTATTACCACAACGAAATACAAATCCAAAGAACTTTATTGGAGGACTTCAATGTAGAATTGACTGTTTCGTATTATGATTACATGCTCCATAGTAAAACGGGTTCCCACTGCAGCTAGTATGGGACATATGTGTTCTACAGAAAACAATTATAATAATAATAAGAAACTCCTGTGAGGCCTGTTATGGGACCACCTTGAAAGGTGGGCCTTGGACTTGTGAACTCCATATTCACAAACTTCCTCAGGCTACTTGCCAATACAGCCCAGCTCATCTTTCCTCAAAAGAAAAGAGAAAAACTGGATGAAGAAAAAGCTGCTGCCACAAAACATAAAGAAACAAAAGGAAAATGGAAAACAGAAAAAGGCTTTTCTATCCCCACTGTCATCATACTCATTTACCCATGCCACATATAAAACAAGCCTGTCTGCAAACAACAGGCTATACAAAGCCAAACCACAGCCAACTGCAACCCAGAAATGAGTATTAGGACTTGCATCCGCATGGTAAAAAAGAACAAATGGAGTTTGATTATTTCAATTAACTGCTGCCGCACAATGCTTACAAAGGGATCTTATGAATGTATTATATAAATGTTTGCTCTGAAGTGCTACGCTGTAATTTAAAGTCACATTTATAGCAAGACCAATACATCTCTTATCATTTTGTACAAAAAAGAACATTACAGCCAATCTCTTGACATTTTTCCACCCTATTCTATGCACCACATTGTAATGCAGTTCAAGGTTTAATACAGATTGTGTTTTCCCCACCAAATCTTTGAATGCCTGAAAAGGTTTTAATAATATTTTCCATTATTAAAACATCTGGTCTGGAAAAGCAATAATTAGTGGTTATGGCTGACTGAAAGACTTGGCATGGCTTGTAATACCTGAAACGTCGGATCATACAGACCTCTGGGAAGTGTGACTGGAACTTGGGTTCCTCGGAACAAATTCTCATAAAGTTATTTTGTACAAAGGGTTCTGGTACTGATAAGTCCTCTGGGAAAGCCTCAGTAGTATAGTCAGGAAACGTCTCTTCAAAAGCCTTTGGCACCGTCATGTTCTCTCGGAGTGTTTTGTTAGGATTAAAGCAACCAGGAGGGTGTTCCTCTAAGTTGGTCTGGTACTTGAGCACTCCCCTACAGGAAAATAAAAATAGCAAAGACACTGAAGTAAGAGTCAAAACCAAGTGACTGTCCTGGTTTCAGCTGGGATAGAGTTAATTTTCTTCCTAGCAGCAGGCATAGTGCTGTGTTTTGGATTTAGTAGGAGAAGAATGTTGATAACACAATGATGGTTTAGCTGTTGCTAAGTACTGCTGATGCTAGTCAAGGACTTTTCAGCTTCCCATGCTCTGCCAGGCGCACAAGAAACTGGGAGGGGGCACAGCCACAATAGTTGATCCAAACTGCCCAAAGGGCTATTCCATACCATATGGCGTCATGCTCAGTATAGAAACTGGGGGGGGTTGGACGGAGGTCAGGGATCGCTGCTCGGGAGCTGTCTGGGTATCGGTCGGCGGGTGGTGAGCAATTGCATTGTGCATCACTTGCTTTGTATATTATTATTATCATCATTATTATGATATTGTTATTATTATCATTACTATTTTACTTTATTTCAATTATTAAACTGTTCTTATCTCAACCCAGGAGTGTTTCTTGTTTCTCCCTCTTACGCCTCCGATTCTCTCCCCCATCCCACCGGGGTAGGGGGAGTGAGCGAGCGGCTGCGTGGTGCTGAGTTGCTGGCTGGGGCTAAACCATGACAGTGACTTATCTTAATTCAGAGAGGGGTTTAGAAAGCAGTCACAAGGCTCATCTTCTGTGAGAATTTTTATTCCATTTGCTTTCACGAATTTCAATGAGATCGAAGCTTTGCAACAATAGAGCCCTCTGTCATTAAAGGCAAGGTTTAACTTTTCCAGCTCACTTGGCACTCCTCCACTGAACAGCCTCAAGCTTAATACTGCTTGAAAGGGGGACATATTGTGGGAGTCTTGAAAAAAATTAAATAATCACATTTCCAGTTCAATCGCACCCAGGCTGTTTTCACTCATCCTCCCTACAGTCAGCAAGCCCCATTTTTTAAGGCAATCTGTAGCAGCCGTGGCCTAAGTTGCCAAATCATAAACTGCAGGAATGTTCGAACTACTTGGTGTTTATCAGGTTTGCACACAACAGTATAAATTGCTCCTTTGAATATCATTTTGTCAAATAGACAGAAGGAAAAAAGAAAGTCCTGCGTGATAGCCAAGGAACCTTTCTTGCAAATTATTTTGTGGGGTCTGTCCTTGTTTTCTAAGCTAAAGTTAAATTTATAGTAAAATGAAGTGAGAACTTTGCAGTTGCAGGTAGAAACTATGAAGAAAGAAGTGGAAACTGAGACACTCTGTGATATCTCAACACATGAATGAATCATTGAAAATGGGGAAGAACAAATAATACTAGTAATAAAATTCCTTGGAAGTACTACTTGTCTCCAAACCTGGATTTGACAACAGTAAAATCACAAGGAGGAATATTTAAAAAAACAAAGGGCTAAATGACAGCTGTATAGGATGCTGCTGGTGGGGAAATAAGGCACACTGACACAACATCTGGTGAGACGTGCCCTCTGAGCACTAGGCCACGTGGTGAAGGCTCATCTCAAGTACGCGATCAAACATAAGGACATATGCTCCCCACTCCTCTCCCCACCGTACACACACAGCAGCAGCAGTCACAGAGTTTAAGTCACAAGAAGAGACAGAAGTAGGATATCTGCAATATTCCCAACTTAAATGGGTTCCATCAGGCTACTGGCAATCTTCCCTACTGAAATGCAGTCCTGATAGCTAGTAACAAGCTTCCCGCACGGTCCAGTGAATAATGTACAGCTTGGAAGTTAAACCTGCTCACTCTGAACTCCATGTCCAACCCTGGGAGAATCACTTGGGAAGTGTCCATTTGCCTACACCCATGCTTCTGTCTGTATTTATTGCCCAATCATGCCTATCGCTTGCATCTGCCATCACTGTTGGTCATCGCATATTTGCAAAGTGACAGATACCCCTAGTGTTATGTTAGTTCCCTGCTCCATAAATATTATGGTGCCTCATGGATTTAGCTGGAAGTCACAGCACATGCGATATTTTTTCAGTCAACCTTGTGTGCATGCCTGCCAGCTGCTGTCACAGTTTCTCTGTTCTCAGAACATCCCAAAAGAGGATTCAGAGTTTTCCTTGAGACATGAATAGCTAAACTGCAAACATGAGCATCCCCTCCAGTGATCTCTAGTTTGTTTAAACTATTACAAACATGCTAACTGAGTGGCGAACTAGGATGACAAAGCTGCCTGTTAATAGCAGCTGCAATGGCTCCCATTTCTGAAGCTGTCAAGGAAAGGCAAGTTGTCTTACACACCCAAGACCCCTTCCCAGAAAGGTTGAGTTCTGCACAAATCTTAAGGAGCCTAAGATATACCCTCACGTATTTATTCCGTACAACAGTTGGAATACATAAAAATCAGTATGTGGATGTCAGTAAGTAGGAGACAGACATCCTTAGCAAACAAAAATGGGAGAGACAAAAAGGGCAAGTCATCTGAAAGTGTCCTACTGGCTGAGCAACACAGCACGTAGTCTATTGCATGGGCATACATCAAATTCTGCCCCAATTTTCCACTCCCAAAATAGAGACAACATTAACTTCTGGCTAGAGCTGGAAAAACATTTATCACTATTTCTTGAGATTTTCATGATGATAAGCTAGAGATCAATGGTTCTCAATATTTTTATGGGGAACTACACTGCTCCTATCTTCTCATCCATCTTCCACTGCTCAACTCAAGGTGAGTTGTTTGTGGGGTCTCCTAAAGGTCAAAGTGTGGGTAGAATCTTAAGATAAATCCTTGGATAACTCTAGTGACTCTTATTCTCAGCTCCAGCATAACCCACTTAAGTCCACAGTAATAACAAATTTGGATCAGCTGAGGATCAGGCTCCAAATGTTTCATATGTTTTATAGCTCCTTACATTGGTACTAGAAACATCAAGCTTCTCTTTTTACATAAATTATTTTTTGTTGCTGCTATTACTGGCTTAAAATATAGATAAATTAATGTAGATATGCACCAAGCCTTAAGCCACTAAAATATTTGAAAGTCACATTGCAAGAAGCAGAAGAGCAGCAAAAGTCTTTAAGGATAATTCCCTGAAAGATTCTCTTCTCTCTTAGGGTAGGGACAAAAGAACAAGCCAATAGCATATGACAGATGAATTGCATCACTTTATATACTGCTGAGAACATACCTATAATAGTTCAAAACAAAACAAGAATCCAGGAATACTGTGGAAATATCAAAAGGAGAGACTCCCAAAACAGGTAAATCCTCACCCAATCTGCCCACATAGTCCAGCCACAGGAAATGCCTTGCTTTGTAGAGTAACTGGCCATGTGTCTGCAAATCTCTAAGACATGCCATATAGGAGTCACTTGGGCACCTAAGCGTGGGTGTCTAAGCTTCCTTCATTCTCAGAAGAGATCTTCTAATCAGTATCACCAATGGAGCCCAGAAATCAATCCAGCTCACTTGAATGTAGATTTTTGTATCAGCAGGTTAGCTGAACCATTCTCAAAGCTCCATTGACCGTATTTATTAGAACTCATTAGACTATAATGGGAGACAGACACTTAGAAAACATGTAGAGACCTACATTTAGGCATCTTAAACTTGAACTGACTCCCACTCTCCATGACTCATTCTTCTCCCACTTTTAACTGACACTCAGTTCTTTTAGATTTGCACTGAAAGGCTTTCTAATTCAATATTAAGGAGGCTGCATACAAGAAGATGCCTGTTTAACGCTTGATGTATTCCTGCAGCCTTGGTTTGCGAACACTTCCAACTGGACTTCTTCCTTCATGAAGAAGCAACATGGTTAGGAAGACAACGGGCAAAGATAATACAGTGAAGGAGATAAATTAAGGTGGACATGAAAAATACTCTGAAGGCAATCACTGGAACAGATTGCCTAGGGAGGTTACAGGATCTCAGTCACCATAAGTTTTCAAGAAGTTAGACAAACAGCTGTCAAGAATAATTTAGCAAAAGTTCATTCTGCCCCAGGATGGGGAGAACAGGTTAGATCCATCTTCCCCAGCTATGAAAAATAGCTATGCCACAGAAAAAAAAAAAAAAAACCACAAAAAAAACAACCAAACAAACAAAACCAAATCCACAGAGAACTGGAATTGTGTCCAGGAGTTTCAATGGTCTTGAAGTCATTATTTCAATCCACCAGATCTCAAGCTGCGTTTGTTTTGTTCAATAACATATTCCTACTGTGATCTTGCTAGGCCTAATTACCTTTCACTGTTTACTTTAAGCCGAGATGCTGAGTGTCACACAGACATTCCAGCACCCCATGTTTCAGTAGGTGTTTGATGACATGGAGAAATAAACCTCATACAAATACATCTTCCCTTCCCTATACCAATCTCTGCACCTACATCCACAAAGGAAACTTCAGAGACGTTAATGGACCAGATTTTCACACAGCGTAACTTGTGGAACCTGCTTTACCTTGCGGTAGAGCTGGGCTTGCTTGTGCCTGATACAGACCTGACCATCAGCTTCCTGGCACATGAACACTGGTCTGATGTTTATGAAAACAAGAAGAAAAACTAGTAAATTTTGTATCACAGCAATGAGAAAGAGATAATTAGGGAGAGGTCGTTCCTTCCCTCTCCTTAGGAGTCAAAATGGAAGGTAGAGAGGAAAGAGAAAGGGACGAACAACTTTGCTTCACATTCTCCTCTCAGCAGCCAGGTAAGAGGGGGCAGAAAAGAAACAATAATGTTTTCTTGATTTCCCACTAGAAACTGGTAACATGGACAAGGAATACACTTGAAAGTGAAGAAGTTTGTGCTAGATGACTGCAGTAACATGCAATTCTCCAAGCTATAGTCTGAACTTTATTTAAACAATAACCTGTTGAAAAACTGAAGAACATAGCATCTTGTCAAGAAGTTGGCCCACTGTGCACAAGCGCGCTCAGGAAAGGCAGTAATCAAGAGAACTGCTCTTTCTGGTTGTGCTTCAGGAAAAGGGACAGTGTTTTCCATTTACTTACCCAGAAACATGCAGCATCAGCAGCATATAGAAGACAAAGAAAAGGTTGTGTGTATACCAGAAGATGTCATAGTTTGAAACCCTGAAAAGAATAAACCATGGTTCAATGCTGTTTCACTCAGATGGAATCACTGCTAATTAAAAGCAGATCTATGCACATAGGACACCATTATACACCATGTAGTCGTGTAGAATAATCAAAGCCCGGTATGTATTCCTACAGACACTCTTGTACTTGCAAGCAATTAAGTGTTGAGAAGAACAGGTGACTGGCACAGAAGTAAAAAGCTGAGAAAGAAAGATAAAGGACATAGAAGTACAGAGCCAGCTGAAGAACTGTTCCTAAATTAGGAGACTTCACTACTTTCATAGGTCCTACTTAGTCCCTATCAGATACTTATAGCTAGAATAGTTCTTCAGTCTCCAGGCTCAAAACTCAACCTCTTTACAGTGAGTGCCTCCTTGCGTTCTTCCTGCCCCAATACAGGGCTGTGGTGTTTAATGTATCAGTACTGGTACAACATACAAACAAGGTAGCGTAGACAACAGCAAAAGGGCTGGTGGAAAAAGTAAAAGAAAATTGTGAGGTTATAGAATGGGAGACACAGGGGGAAAGGAACTAGAGCAAGGAGGTGATGAGGACAGTTAGGAGAATTTTCTGGGCAGGAGGCCACATACAGTGGGGCTCTAGGACTGATGGTCTTGGGAGGAATGAGCAGAACACTACCACTGTGAGGATCAGGAGAGGTGAAGGGGAAAGAGGACTTCCTTTCATCAGTAATTTGCTAGGTAATGTAAAAAGAACCAAGACCAAAGAAAATACCCATCTGGAACTGTTTTCTGTTAAGCCTGTTTGTTTTCTCTTGAGTAAAATAGTCACTAAAAAACAACAATCACCAAATGGTTAAGAAAATACTCTACTTCATAGCACACAAATACACGTCTCACACTACACAGCATGGTAGGAGAGTCCCTTCCAAAACCAAAAAACTAACCCCATTCATAAGCCAAAACAATTATTAAATAAAAAACAACCTTAACTCTGAGAACATAGTTTAAGAAGCTACTTCTCTGACATAGCTAACTTTTTTCAGAATTTTTCCCCTCCTATGGCCTTTTACATAAACACTTGACTACTGTTGCTTCAATACATCTCAAATGTACACTGCATTTGCTTCTGTCAATACAGGACTTATTTGTTTTCTGTCTCAAGACAAAAAAAATAATTTTGATAATCTGAGGGCCACCAAAATAAAACCCAAGCAAGGGCAGTTCTAAGGAACCCAGCAACAGAAAGGGGCTCTGAACTGCCCCCCTTTACCCTGCCATCCTTCCCCCATTCAGCACCATGCTAACACTTTTTCCTCCTTGATGCTGATCAAACCATTTCTAACTACCCACACCCTGGTATGCATTTCCATGCAGTCACTCATCAGTATCTGTAAGGAGTTGTGGGAGTGAACATCAGTAAGATGAAAGTAAAGGATGATGGTGTGGGGAGTAGAATCATAGAATCATAGGATCGTTTAGGTTGGAAAAGACCTTTAAGATCATCCAGTCCAACCATCAACCTACACTACCAAGTCCACACTAAACCAATCAAGGGTAGACTAGACTAAACTGTGTCCCAAAGTGCCACATCTACCCGTTTTTTGAACACTTCCAGGGATGGTGACTCTACCACCTCTCTGGGCAGCCTCTTCCAATGCTTGACTACTCTTTCTATGAAGAAATTTTTCCTAATATCCAACCTAAACCTCCCCCGGCGCAGCAGAGCAGAAGCACAACGAGAAGGCACAAAAAGAATAACATTTACCCCCAGACCTGAAACAGGTCTTGGAGCTCTGGCTTAATTTGGTATCTTGCCACAATACCAGAAGCTGCACACTGAATTAATTTTTATTGGATCTTGAGCGTTTTTTTCATAATGTAACAATTTTTCGAAATTTCTGCGATGGAAAGTCAGTCCTGGCTTCTGACGTTATTTTCAACAGCTAATTATTATTACTGATTAAAATTACTGTACACTTCCTGTCTGAATATGTCGAAATGTCAGCTTCCAGCCAGTTGTGCATTTCATTCTTCTTTCAGCATTCCTGCAGATACCTCTACTATAAACTCCTGGTTCCTCACATGTATCAAGTTCCCCTAAATCAAGTCCTCTCAACTTCACCTCCTTAAACTAAAGAGACAGAGATCCTTGAATCTCTTACCATGAAGTGTATTTTCTAACATTTTAACAATTATATACTTCTCACTTGTATCCTTCTTAAACTGTGTGTCCTACAGATACATACAGTATTCTACTACACTCAATAATCTTCCTACTGCTACATATATATCTTTATAGTTCTTCAGAAAATTTATTACTTTCTTTACCTTCTTCTTAGAGCTTAAAATAGACATTATTCACAGAATGAATGCATTTCTTAGGAACTCAAAGTCCTGAAAATTTGAGATCAAGTTGAATATTTAATTTTAATTTTGGTTAACCTTCTTCAGAATTTTGCAGGTGAAGACGTGCAAGAGTTAACTTACTGAGAAATTTAAGGGAAGATTGCCATGCTTTAAAGGGACACAGTAAGCAGCACAATCTTGGAAAAATATTTTTAACCCTGTTACAGCTAGTTTTGAAAAGGAAGATATATGTGGTAGTTTAGAAGATGAAATTGAAGACTAGAATATTTGGTTACACAAAGACATGGCATTGGAGCTGCTTATATTTTAATGTTCCTTTAAATATGTGATTTCCAAAGTCACTAGTTATTGTGTTCAGTGGAAACACTCTTGAACAACATTCATTTGAAAGTTAGCAGAAATGTCAACATTTATTCACAGGATTGATTGTATTTTCTAATAACATCATAACCCTTCCAACAAACAGCTACTGAACAAAAAAATGTTGGTCTAATTCTCAGGTATGACATGGCAAAAATTTAGAAAATTTTTCAAACAACACTCAATTCCCCTTTAAAACATTAGCAGCTAATTCAATCCTCCTAATACTAACTCACAGTTCAGTTTACTGAACAAGTAAAGGCACAAAAATAGCAGGATAATCATGCATAGAAAAACTTCAGGAAGAACATATGAAGGAAGAAATGATTAAGTAAGTCCGTGTGCAAGAGCAGATTAGGGCTGAAATCCAAGAGAGTATAATAGTCTCTGAAATACTTTTCAAAAAGCCCAGTTACTGACAGTCAGCAAGCATTTACAATTAATTTCTCTAAGACTACAGTGTGAGCTCAGCCATCATAAGGCACGTGAGATTCCACAGGGAAAGAGCTTGAAAAGGGACAGAAAGATGCGCATGGAAGCTTATTTCCTTAGGAAAACACACTATAAAGACAAGCTTGAGCCATATGCCTGAGGGAGAAGACAGGATAAAATTTCTAAACAAGAATTATTGCTAGAGTAACAGGAGATGCAGATGATCTCTTAAGGGCTTTGATTCTGCTGGCTAGATGGCAGAAAGACGGGAAAGCACTTGCACTTACGGTAACTGAAGGAGGAAATAACAAGCATGTAACTTCGACAGAAGGAAACCTTTGTTGCATGAACCCCAAAATTATTATTTCCAAGAACGTGTTTGCAACGACATATCTTTTCCTAAGTTTCTCAATCATTAATAAATGCTGTTCCTTTCTTCCAATTCATCATGGCCTTGGAGAAAACAGGACTTTGTTCTGGCTCACTGCTGCAGAGTGAAGTAATTGTTTTATTTTTCCATTTTCCCAAAACTGCCTTTCTTTTGCAAGCAGAGCCATCTGTGTGGACTACGTAATGTGCAGCCATGTCTGACATCTTGTGCAGCAGTCTTATCCTGCACTTCTGTAGCCTACAGTTCCTCACAAAGGTCTCAACCCTGGAAGTATCTTTGTCTACAAAATGTGCACAAGTATTTGCTGAACTACTTTCTTGAATCAGCGCCTGATAACATTGCTACTCAGGAAAGACAGAGTAGTTCAACAAAGTTCAAAACGACACATCTAGCTCACATCAGTGGAGCACCACTAATGTTTGAAGATATGGAATTAAAATACTCTTCAGTGTTTGCTGAATTGAGATGACGTATATACTTGGTCTTTGAATTCACCAGAGACAGCTACAAAAATCAATGGGGTTTTTATATGCTTCAATTGCAAAATCCGATCCTTAAAAAGGCTACAGTATTGGGCTAGACCCTCCAAGGTACCGGTCACTCAAATGTACTATAATATGTGTTCAATAATGTTGGTGCAGAATGTCAACCCATTGGAGGACCAAACTTTTAGAAATCCCCCAGCAGCTACTCAGAGCCAATACTGCATTGCTGTTTCAAAATTATAACCGACATTAAAAAAATATATCTGACAATCAGAAGCAGAGCTTTAAAAAAGCAACATAAAAAAGCAAAAAGTAGCACAATTCTGTTTCAGTTTGCTTCGTTGCCGGCTTTTTTTGTTGCTGTTTTTTTACAGTTTGTTTTTACAATTAATTGGTGAAAATAATTAAGATAAAGATATCATCTTATTTTAATTCTGGTGGACTTAATTTATGCATTGGACAAAACTTCCCATATGCTTAGATTACTGCCTCCCTTTACAAACAGGAAAAAAGAACTATTTAAATTTTTAAAGGTCTAGATTTTTAACTGAGCACATGCCTCAATATTTTTCTCTGAAGGCAATTTAATCAGGTTTTGTAATTTTTTGAATACAAAATTCACCATACTAATTTGCCTGCAAGCTAGTAAAAAAAAAAAGGGGGCAAGAAAAGCAGTATTTTTAACACTCATTTAAATGCTTCTTGCCTTGTATTGCATTTACTCTTCGTTCCCTCTAATCAGTATGAGAATATGATTACTCTAATGGCATTTTTCAGCACAATGATCAGATTGCGTCTTACCTGATGGCATATGTAGAAGCTGTGCACATTAGGAACAATACTAACACCATAATGACTCCGGTCAGACCTGGAACTAAAACAGACATAAGATAACTTACATTTGAACTGTGAAGAGGTATACTTGTCTCCTATGACCTTTTAAGGAAGTGGAAGTTATTAGACAAACAAATCATGATTCAATCAAAGTCTTGCATGTATTTATCTCTTGAAGACAATTCATGTACCAAACCAGATAGGAAAGAAGAGCTGTTGTGTTATTTCCCACGTTCGCAGGGAAGACTGCCCTTTTCCTTGCATTTCACCATGCACCACTAATTTTGTACTAGTCTTTGCTCCTGTAATCATTTGCTCATGACATTTTTTCTAAGCAGGTAACGAAGAACAAATCCTGTCTATTTGTTTATTTGTAAGGCTGGCTGTATAAGTTTCTATATCTCTTTTTTATTCCAAACCCTAAACTCTGTTGAACACAACAATTAAAAACCTGGTCAGGGACAGAATCTCGAGTAAATCAATTTCTATGCAAGCTGTCACTGCTATTGTTTGCCAACCCATTTCATCCTGGAATGAGAAAGAGCCTGAAATTACTCTTCATGGCATTGTATCATGCTTGAAATTGTTGCCTGTAGAGCAAGGTCTGTGAGAGTGATCTACAGCCAGCATTTGGGAAGGAAAGGTTAAAAATATTAAGGATTGGACTCATCTGCTCAAATGCAGGCTCATATCAGAACTAGCCTATCCTCAGCTCCTTTTTAAGTTAAAGGAGAGGAACAAGTATTTTTACAGAATGATTCATCTCATCCTAAAGCAGAATCCTGCCCATAAAGTACCGTAAACCATTAGCCTAAAGATAGATTAGAAAAACCTAACCAAAGTTACCACTTTTTCTGAGCACCTTACCTTCAAAATTGCCATCCCAGGAATTAAGAATCTGAATTAAGAACCTAAAATCCATGAAGCATTACATCAAATCCTTTTAATTCTCAAAGAATGATTAAGTGCTGGTTTAGTGTCTGAATACAAGTGTCTCAACCAGCTTTCATGGACACGAATGGCAAAACCACAGATTTTAATGGTCCAGGATCTTTTACAGCATCATAGAATCATAGAATGCTTTGGGTTGGAAGGGATCTTTAGAGGTCATCTAGCCCAACCATCACATCCTAATGATAAGAACAAGCTAATTTTTTAAATAATTGATTGTGATTTTAGATTCGTTAGCAATAAAGACACAATTTAAAATCTTATCTTTTTATAAACTTCTCAACATCCACTTGTTGAAAAGTCTGATAGCCAAAATCTGATACATCCCAAATCACTCCTCAGTTTTACAAACAATAGGAAAAATCCTGGTCCTACAATCAATGGAATTTTTATCATGGACTGCATAAGAAACATAATTTCATCCCTTCATGGAAAGGTTACAGTTAAAAGCGGTTGCAATAAAAAATGTGCATTCTTTCCATTGCCTCCTTCTTCATTTTGTCTTTCTTAATCTAATTTGATATGTAGTGTGCAATCAATCTCCCCTCTGACACAAATACTTCCAATCCAATTGCAGTACAGCACTCGATCCAGCTTCCTACATTGTCACTCAAGCCACAGATCACCTTTTACATCCAGTTCTTCAATTCTCTTCTGCATCAAACCGCAAACATTAAATCACTCACAACCTTGCCCCAATTCATCGGTGCGTTTTTAGTGTTTCCTCTCCTCCCTGTCCCTGTCTCTCTTTTCCTCCACTAACTATAATCTTGAACACCTGTTCCTCCCAGAGCTAGCCTCACACCTTAAGCAAGGAGGTTCTTTCCTGGACTGATCTGAAAAGCCACACTGTAAATCCTTCCAACTCCTTCTCTTCATTGTGTTAAAAAAATCAGCCAATAAATCTATTTCTGAACTGTTTGGGAAGAGACCACTTTTTTGCATATTTGTGCAGGTCCCCATGCAGCAAAATCTTGGTCCCTGTCCAGGCACTCCCACGGCACAAATAATAAATGTTAATTACCAGCTGTTAGGATGGGGAGTGGTCTGAGTAATTTTAAATTTAAGATTACTTGGAATCACTGGTTTTTGCAACAATGCGCTCAAACTTTTGAAAATGCAGTATTTTCCTGGCTGTCAGAGGGTAAAAGGAGTTTCACCTTGCAAGTCCTCTGCTCAACTAGAGAGGTCTCAAGATGTCCCCAGAAGCTGTGACAATATTTGATGGGGCCTCTACACTCATTCTTCACCCCAAGTCTTTCTCCTTTATCTAAGATATTAAATATAATACTAGCTGCTTGTTCTAATTCTCCCTCCCCATCTTTAACTCCCTCCTCTGTGAGTTACCTTCTTTCAAGCCTCCACCACTGATTCACTAACTATGCCAGCTACCCAACCTATTTCCAGCTAGCAGTTAACTTGTACCTCAATTTCTATAATTTCACTTTCTCACTTCCTCTACTCTCAACTGCCGTAAACCTTGCTTAGGGTTTTTGGAAAGTCCTTTCCCACAGGCTGCCAATTCTAGTAAATGTACTGGGATTGACAGGTCTAGAACCCCATTTATTGCTGTCCAGACTGATTCCCTTGGACCTTGCCCTAAATGCTACCAAGTTGGGATTTTTGTATTTGATATAAATAAGAGAGATGACCTCAGAAAGGACCTTTACCTGCTTGTGAAGCACTACAGCTCAGGCTTGTGGTTACCCCTCCATACCCAAATGTTGCTCCCTTCTAAAGCAAAGACATTTTTGGTGCAGGAATTATTTACTCTTTATAAGTGCTGAAGCCTGATTCCTGTGTAACAGTTTAGATGGCTCTGAAGTTGAACCAACCCTTAAAAAAAACAGCTGAAGCAAGAAGACCCCTTTTTTGTTGTGGTTTTTTTTTCTTGAAATTGGATCATTTAGGAATTTGGTTTTAATATTATGCAGAACCTCTGTTTGAAACTGATGATTTTCCACTGACTCATCTGTACAACAACAGCTTTGAAGATGCTGCTCATCCTGCTACAGGGCTTATGTAACTCCTGCGTCCTGACTATGGGGTAAGCAAAGCCAGGTTATATTAACAAAAATAACACATCTCAACCTAGCTGAGATACAACAAATGGAGCATGCGAACACAGGATCAAAATGTTTTGTCTGGAGAGTGATGATGAAAAGCAGCAAACTTTCTCATTCAGTTTTGCAACAGACTTACCAGTAGCAAAAAGCAGTTTCCTCGGATCCTGAAAAACAGACAGGCCAAAAAAACCCAGTCAACATATATGATTTTATATCGATATGAATAATGTAATAATAATAAATAGCTCATAAAGCTCATGTGCTCAGTGGCATAAGCAATCCCTAAGTCTGGATGCAGGAATGGATTTGGTATTTGGTAGCAGTTTACACCGACTGCAACTCAACATAAACTAAACCTTTAGCTTTTGCATTCCCCCAGTGAAGACAGTCTGATCTGTTATGAAAAATTAGGATCCAAATAATTTTACAAATAATTATTTTTTTGAAAGCCTAACTTTACTCAGTTACCTCATACCTTTGGGAGGACAGAGGGCAGCAGAAAGGAGAGTGATTTTCAATTTAAATGAAAGACCAGCGGCGAGCATTTTATGGCCAGTTACATCACCAAGTGATTTGCAGTGGACTCCAGTGAAGCAGGACTGAACACAAAGGAGCTGACAATACAAGGCCAGATGTTCCTGTGTCCTTCACCACATGTGAAAGGAAGAGGGGATATGTCAACCTCACAGGAAACTGCCTCACTCCCCCTGAGTCCTACACCTTGTGACGTTTTGTCTTCACTGTGGAAAAAACTTTTTTTTTTTAAACTTGCAGTAAAATGGAGTGAGGGGAGGTGAGCAGTTTTCCTACAGGTCAGGAAAAACAAAGCATCCCCCTCCCTGACCTTGCCTGCATCCAGATGTGCACACCCACGTACAGAAGATGACAGTAGCATCCAGACTGCCCACCACAGTTATAAAACAGGTTTAAGTGGAATTCAAGCACAAAGGTTCAAGAGCTACTAGAGTACCTAAAATACAGGAGGTTTTGATCCTAGAGTTACTAAAAACTTGTTATTATCTCCATTTTCTATTGCAAAATTCCTAAGGCTGCTCAGTATAGGCTGCCATGCACACCCTGGCACACTCTTGCCTGAGGCAAGCTCCTGCTAACGTTCCTGATGAGACTAAGTCTATTAGACCACTCCTAACACATGCAGACACTCGAGTTCAATCCAGAACCTCAGCACAATAGTTGGTGTTGGCATGTCTGTCTGCCATAGAATAGCTTGGTGATTAGATCATTCACCCAGGGAGTGGAAGTCCTTGGTTGTTGGTCCTTATGAGCCTGGGCTGAGTCAAGCTCTCCTTTTCCAGGAAAGGATGCAGCTGGGATAGGGTCATTCTAAATCTTTCCTAATGAAGCCGGTACAAAAGAAATGCTGACTTGAGACTAGAACGAATATAAACAAGAGAGAACTTGATTGTATCCCACAGAAGAAAGAGTGCTGGACTCTGGTCTTACTCCTAAAATCTGCACATCTCTCTCCAGTGCCAAATGCACAAGCAAGCACCTGGAGGAGGGACTAAGACTCTGGTATGCCTTCAAGAGATCTGCACCACAGTCAGAGAAGTCATGCAAACCAAGTATCTGGTAAGTAGAAATCAGCTTCCAGCCCAGTTCAGGCTGATAACTAATTCCACTCTTAGCACATATACTCCAGTTCTCACTGCAGTTTAAAAATGCAGCATCGGTCTCAAATCTCACTATCCTCAGATACCCAGTATATGTCACACAGCACTATATTCTAAATAGTGCAAATGCAGAATGTATTTTCCCAAACAGCAGCAGAAGTGTCTCAACCAGGCCCACCCAAGGAACAGAGAGAAGCAGAAGAAGAGAAGCAGGAGAACAGGGCGCAAGGTGAAAGGACCTGATGACAGCATTCTCCACCTCATAATCCAATAGGCCTGAATCCTGCTGGCTTAAACAAAAAGTGCTTAATACATGCTTTGTCCGGGGAAATAAGTAAAATCCACAGCAATGCACATGATGGTGAGTTTTCAGTGCACAAAACAGCAGCACTGTATATAGATCACAGGAAGGATCATACAATGGAATTGAATATACAAATAATCATATATTTAAATTATATACTTAAAAGCAAAATATGAAAGGACAGCTGGCTCACCTCACCACGATAGTTTGCTGCATTTAGTGCCAGGAAGTCTTCATTGTAGTTCTCAGAGAAATTAAGAGCATTCACCAGGTGAGCAGCAACATGTAAGACTAAAAAAAAGAGTGAAGCTGAGATCCATAAACAAGAGGTAGATGTTCCCCTGAAGTAAAGAAAAGTGGCTACCCAGATGCCAAGCTATAATCACATCACCTGCATGAGATGCTTCAGGGACTAAGGAATTCTTTTCTAAAGTAAATCAGGTTATAGATATTCATGGCAGAAAGCTGTGTGTATTTTAAGATTTTTTAACACTACAGCAATCATTTCCATATTGCAATGCTTCAGCTGGGAGACAACATTCAGGTGTTCACCCAAGAATATTTCTTCACCAAATTGGGTACTTGTCTCCACTGCTCCCTCTTCTGCAGATAAGCCTGCAGCGCCCTGCTTCTTCACTCAAATTCCTTAGGTACAATGGAGGGTCACTTGTAATGGCAAATTTTGACCTGATTTCATATACCTGTCCTTTTAGATACTGGAATTTTAAGGAAGGTCTCAATATTAGAATGTGAGCCCATGTGTTTAAAGGAAAAATAAACCAAAACCCACACACATCCAAGCAAGCATTCACAATTTAAGGCAGGGAAGCACAGAGCAAGACTACCCCCAAATGTACTGTACAAGAAAAACCACAAAGTAACCGCTTCAATGTGTTTCCCAAATAAGCTGCTACTCAGCACAGTAAGATCTCACCTGAAAAGATGCATATTGTAACACCACATGTCACATGGAAAGTTTTACTTTTATCTAGCAGCCTTCTGGTTTTCCTGCTGGCAACCTAATAAGAGAAGAATTCAAGCAATCTTTCTTCTAAAACAAAGCAAAGAAAAAAAATACTAACAGCAACTGAGGTGACATAATAGCAACTTCAGCTTTTATTAGGTTTAACACACTTGCAAGCACAGTACCTAAATTTAAAAATTACAGGATTATGTCAATGAGCCAATTTTGAGGTCTTAATGAAAAAATTACAGTTGGATCTGTATTACAGAGATGTCAAGAGCACATAACGTAACGTCCCTTCTGGCCTTAAAATTTAGGAATTCCAGCACTAGTTGTTGCAGGCGTCACTGACTCTTTAGTGAGCACAATCAGAGGGAAAGATATATTTGCATACATATATGCATCTATAGGCATCAAATCTTATAGGTAGTCACATGATGAACAGAACTCATAGGTTCAATTTGCAACCATCCAGAAAACACAAATGTTCCTCAAAAGCATTACTTACATTTCTGTAAAAGCAACTGGTGAATCACAAACAAGCTAAACTATTGTTTACTGAATACTGGTACAGCAAACAAACCTCTTAGCTTTGCCAGAACTCTTTTTTTTCCCCATGAAAATGAATATATCAGGTAGGGTATTTTTATTTAAAGTTCTGTCATCTCCAGTAGGACACTTCTGGTCATGCAGAGACAAAGTTCTGTTGAAGTCTACCAGGAAGCAGTAGAGAGGACACAAGTGTCTTATATTAAAGTTGGAAAAGAAGGAGGAGACTTTGTCTGGTTACAGTTTCACAGCAACTCCCCGCCTTTCCAAAATGACTTGAAGAAACTTCCTCAAACAAGTCCACTCAAAGCAGACAATGCCAGCCAAGGCATTGTCTTCAAAGGAGTCATGAATCTAGGCTGAATGTCTGATACTCGCACCATGCAGGCCCATGCTGTATAATAAACAGGGACATAACAGATTTCTTTCCTATTATTTTTAGACTAAATGGAGACCAGGGCCCTCTTCTTCTCAGCTGCTGCATTCTGAGTACAGTACTTACCTTCTGAGATCCTCGCAGGAAGGCCAAGAGAACACGGCACATCGGTAGAAGGACCAGGCAGCAGTTGAGATTGAGGACAGATGCTGAAGCTCTGCTAACACACAATCCTAGCTGAACAAATATAGCAAGAGTTAGATTACGGGGAGAAAAGACACTAATAGTTCAGGTTTCAGTATTCAACCTCCTTTTCTTTGCTGTGAAACCAAACGGTTCCCATGCTCTCCTGACTCATTAGAACAGTGGAGTTTCATGATGTTTTGCATGTACTGGAAAAACCACTGTACACACAGCATGCTATCTTGTTCTCCGAGGGAAACAGCTCTCACCTTTGCATCAAAAAGTTATTCAAAATTAATTTTATCAGCAATAATGTCAGAAAATGACAACTTTCTACTGAAAGAACCTCATCAGTGCTCAAAGCCGCATGGAACAAAACATATCTGACACAGTAAGTGTCCACCGAGAAATTACCTGAAAGCTTCAACAGACATAAATAAGTAAGAAAGAGGAATAAATACTATGAAGACACTAGAGAGCCGCTTGAGTAAAGTGTAATAATTTTCTGGTAAACAAGACAGAAAAAGGTGTAAAAAAAATTATTAATTCAATTAAACTGAAATGATGATAATATTGTTTCAAGGACTGTTACGGAATTGTCACAGAACTCCTCATCCATTCACACTATGCAGTGGCATATTTGTATCTAAAGAAAGTAGGTTTTCTTCATTTTAACTACTCAAGAGCTGGGAACTATAATGAAATCTAATTTTACTAATGCTTTCACTGGTATATTTGGAACTTACATAATTAGAACAAAAACACTTGTCAAATAAATGAACAAAGCACACATTAATGTCATAACCCTGTATTTTTTAATCTTATTATAGTCTCTCATTCATTTATGATTTTTAAAAAAGTTAGCAAAATGCCATTGTTCTCTTAGTTCTTAGGTTGAATTACCATTTTACTAGCTTATATAAAAGATGCTTTTAGACTGTCAACAGATTTCTATAAGGATATTTCTTACAATGTTCTCTAAACCCCAAGTTTTTCAACTCCTGAAGAAATTAATAAAAAATTATTACAATATTATAAGATAACTCAAATATAGTGAAGAGGTATATGAATGATTTGAACAGGTACAAATTATCTAATAAAAATTACTAAGGATTTATTACTTTTTCAAAATGAAACTTTATGTCAAAAAAGAACATTTGTTATTTCTCAGTCAAAAAAAATTCATCAGTGAAACATTTATTATATTCATATCTCTCTGATCAAGAAGAAGAAACAAAATTGGAGAGGAATACAGAGGTTTTATTTGGAAATATTTTTTTTTACAAAAATTATTAGAAAAGCCTTGTAATTTCAAAATTTATAATTGCTATTAGTTGTTTTTTACAGACTTATCTACATGTCACAGAAATGGATGAATATATAAACTAGTAAAAACAAAGAAAATAACTGGACTTCAGCATGTCTAGCAAGATCACAAGCATGACAGCATGACAGGAGCTTCTCAGTACCATAAAACATCAAAACTGCCTGCTCTCACAATTAGTAACACCCATATATCCCACCTTCTCTGCAGTACATCTGGGTACAAAACCAGTAGGCAAACAGAAGGTAAAGATGTTCAATCTACCTGAAGCATCAAGCTCTCCACCTAAATCCCATTTCTCTTCTGGCTACTTTACACTATTTAGTTAGACCTGAGTGCTAGGGACCTCCTCACCAGACATTACCAGCTTCCACAGAACAAAGCAGTCATAAGTGTACCTTCTCTCAAAAGTTGCCCATGCGAAGTAGGAGGAATTACCCCAGAAAATGTGTTCTACCTTGTTCCCTGCCATATAGATGTGGGCTCCCTGGCAAATGTCCCAGGAGCAGATCTTATGAAAGTCACACTGAGAGGGACATTTACAACAGAGGCATTTCTAACCTACTGAATTACAGAAAATAAGACTAGAATGAACCACATCACTTGGTTCCTTCCCACTCTCCAGACCTCCTCCACTATTGCTTCCAATGCACTGTTAGTCCTTTTTTCCTTTACATAAAAAAAACCTCTCTTGCTTGTATTTCATCTATTACTTCACACTCTGTTCACATGCACAATAAGAGATTATTCTTGCTACTTTCCCCTCACAAGTCATGTTCTTCAGACTTTCAATCATCCTCTCCTCCCGCCTCTGGACTCCCCAACTGGTCCAGAGACCAAGTGCAATGACTACAACTGAGCACCAGCTACAATGACCACAACCTCAGCAAATGAGCTAGGATTTTACTGAATGCTGATGTAACTTTCCACTTCAAAGTACGATTAAAAAAAAAACAATATGTGAACAACCACAATAAATATTTCTCTATCCTTGCCCACAGTAGCTTCAAGTGACTTTAGAACATCATATTTTCTGGACTACCAGATAAAATGGCAATACCCTTGAAATGATTTGACTTAATGGCAAGTAAAATGTCTCTATAATGTGCCATTTGCATATGCAAGACTGTCTCTATTTTCATTAATTATTATTCCTCTAAAGGGAAGCTAAAAATAGGCTAACACCACATAAAAGCAATAACTTCAAAAACATGGTCATTAAACACATATAAATATTTTTATTAGAGCTTACTGATGTGCTACACTGTTTCAGTGATTAAATGAGCATGATTTGAAAAACCCAAGAATTATGTAGAACTAACATTATGCAAAACCCAGAAGTAAACTGAACCATTTTTGTCACTCTAGGCTAACACTCAAAAGCTAAAAAAATTTGCAATACAATTAATAAGTAATGCAATTCAAAAACTGTAATAATTTCTATTATATGACCTATAGGGTACATCATTAGTTTCTCAAGAATTTTTGTTGTCTTTGAGTTGAAACATGAACCAGGGATAGAATCATGGAATTGTTTAGGTTGGAAAATACCTTTAAGATCATCCAGTCCAACCATTAACCTAACATTACCAAGTCCACCACTAAACCAATTAAGGGGAGGGTAGCAACCCCACGCCTCCTGGCTTAGTGGCTGGATCATTTATAATGAAAGTAAAAACTAGGAATCATTAAGATTAGAAAGGACCTCTAAGGTCATCAATCCAATCATCAACCCAACAACACCATGCCCACTTAACCATGTCCCAAAGTGCCACATCTACCCATTTTCTGAACACTTCCAGGGATGGTGACTCCACCACTTCTATGGTCAGCCTGTTCCAGTGCTTGACTACCCTTTTCATGAAGAAATTTTTCCTAATAACCAATCTAAACCTCCCCAGAATCAGTTCTGATCTCAGTTATCCCAGACTTCCTTATCAGGCACAACTATTCTTCTTCCAAACTTCAACAAAAAAGTCTAGTTTGGAATAGTCTAGAACAGAGTTAATTCTACACTGTGTAGTATTAAATAAATGAAATAATTTATTGTAAGACATATGTAAAATGCCAAACAATTTAGCTGGTACAAAAATTATGAATCAGCTATGATAAGTAGAAAAAGCTACCCTGTTAACCTTCCCTTGTGTTCTTCCATGCCACTATTTAATAAATAGCAAATATTCATTCATAATGCAATTACTATGGAAGAATGCCCTTACATTAATTCTAATTCAATGCTATCAGCATCTGTACAAAGGAAAAAAAAAAAAAAAAAGAGAGCAGGAAACAACTTCTTCAAGTATGTGGTGGACTTTAGGAAGTGTGATTCAAGTCCATGACCAATTTGAAAACAATAGTAAAGTAATACATGTAGCAATGCTTAGAATCACAATTCATACAAGACCAGAAGAATAACAGAGTACTAAGTTTGCTCTTAACATATATCCAAAGGCTAAAAATATCCCCATGAAACCAATTCTTTCCAAATGGTTTCCAAGTCTCTTTCTTGACTTCCTTTGCATTGCATGGGTGGCATAGTAACAAATTAACATTGTGCATTGTTGGATTTTTAAACAATAGTAGAACTAAATATGATCTTTGCTCCAAGGCAACTCACTGGTTCTAGAAGAGAATATATGTCCTTATTAAGTAGCTAAGAAATGAGAAGAAATATAATCCTCTTTTCTTCCTAAGATTACTGTTGTCTTAAGGAAAAAAAACCCCAAACTGTTATTTCATGTTAGTAGCATGTGAAATTTCTGTAGGATCAAAGAGAGAGAAAAAAACAACCCCAAAACCTCTGCTGGACACTCTGTTTTATCCACCTTTGCTGATATCAAATCCAATCATTTGACAACCTCCTTCTGTACTCTGCCTACACAGCACAGTACCCCACATATTGTTATCCAATTTCATGGAGGGGCAAAGAGACATAGAAAAACTAAAGGATTAATTGAATTCACAGAGGAAATCTGTGGCAGGGACAGTAGGGAACTGGACCCACTACAAACTCAAATCCTAAAAACTAGGCTAAATTTTTTCTACAGACAAGTATAAAGCAACCACTGTATTTTCCTTCTCCAAAGCAGCAGAAAAGGGCTCCAGAGGTATAGTGCGAATGTAAGTTCTCTAGCTATCCCTGTCTGATGTACAGTCCCACAGAAACTGGGATGGACTCCTGGCTATGCTCATAGAAAGTGTAAAGTAGGACAGAGAAGCAAAGAGTCAGTTCTCGTTGGATGTTGTGTGTGTTGCTGCTGGCAAAGTAGGGGAAATGAGCTCCTCTGTAGGTAGGCAAATGATTTCAGTATTAGGTTGAGGGCTAAAGTAATATACTGTGTACTACAGAATTCCCTAAATTTCATCAGTTACACAGAGATGAACGTTACTTGCGACTGCTGTGTACAGAAATCTAATATTCAATACATGGTTGCAAAACATACTGGAGAGCAGAATAGAGGGAGACTTCAACAAACACTGTTCTCCCTCACCTTTTAAGTCCATCTTGTAGGAAAAAATGGAAGAATTCCGCAAATCCTTCCACACCTAGAAGTGATGTAATTCTGTTTCTCAAGACTTCTCTACCTACAAGCAACAATCCTAAACAGGTCATGGCGCAGTAGAGACACCACACTTGATGCTCTCTCTGGAGACCTTTCTCTGAACTTTTGCAAACTTCTGCAGTTCAGGGCAACTTGAAAGGTTGTGGGAAGACTCATAAGCCACATGC